GCGGAATAGATTAGTTTAGTAGGCTGTTCCGACATTTTTCTCACATCATATAACTGTACTTGATTAAAGAGATGATTTGTGAAACGCTCAGGCTGACCTTTTTCCGTTTACGCTAGGTTTTGACTTCCGTTTGAAATCGTGCTAGCATTGATATTAGGCCTTCTAGAGTCTGTGTGTGAACGGAAGTCTCAACTAAGTTTGCCCGTTTTGCCTTCCGGAGAAATCGGATGGAAGTAGACCAGGCTTGCTCGAAGATATGCGAATTTCACGCTGGCTACGTGAGATTGTTAGTCGAACATTCGTACAAAATACCTATTTAAGCATTGTAGGGGTCTGATAGAGTTTAAATACGTGGCGCACTTTTAAGTAGAGTCTGATTGAACGGCGACTCATTTCAAACAAGTCATTAAAAAAACTTAACATTAAAATCATTAACAAAAAACTCAAAACGGTAACAACACCGGTAACAAACAACACTGTAAAAGGTTACAGTTCCCGTTATATAAAACGAATCGTATAAAATCAATAGACAGGCTTATGCGACAAAAGGACAGTTCAAAGACCGCCAAGTGTAGACAATCCCCTTCTGGATGATTTGGTGGCCGATTGATTCTCTTGTTGCCGCTTTTGGAGATGGAATTGCACCCACTCATGGTTCATAACCTGAAAAAAGATACAAATTGAAAAAAACCTACTGCCTTCCTCATAAGTGCCAAAAAAGGTTACTAGTCAAAAAAACTGTTAACTGATATGCACATTATCTAATGACAGCCTTTCTTGTGGTTGTCGTTGAAGAAGTTTATTGATGAGATCCCGTGCACCGCTAGACACGTAGGCAGGGAATGTATATCGCACCTGTAATCACGTAATCAGCTGAAGGAAACTGCGAAAGGGAAAGAACATGGAAAGGAGGGGGAAGCCTTTCGTAATATTAAAAGTAAAAATAGGACACAAATAAATTGCTAGCTAGACGATCGAAATGGTAAGGGTAGAAAAAGTTAAAAAGATCAGTTGGTATTTCAGTACATAAACAAACAAAAAACAAGGGTAACGGATACTGTTGCTCGACCATTCCGTCCGCTTGTCTCCTTCTACAAAGTAAGCAATGAACTCACATTACGAATGGCTTTATAAGTATTAGCAGAGTCGTCGTGCTCAAATGGAGGAGTACCAACTAGAAACTCATAACAGAGTACGCCCAGAGACCATATATCCACCTGAAAGACGAAACGGATCAATCAATAATTTCCCAGAAGGAAAATACTTACATGTTCACGGTGCTCTTCGCCTGTGACCATTTCCGGTGGCAAGTAGTCCAAAGTGCCACACATCGTTTGACGTCTAAAATCAGATGATT